AGCCGCTAGAAAGTTTGGCATTGAACGGCCGTCCAATGCCAAACTTGTGGAGGAGTTTCTCGGACTCGAAGCTGCAGCGTCCACGCATACATCCCCACTTCCATCTTTCAGAAGCTTCATCTTTCAAGCTTGCATACACGCACGGTCCCAAATCCATGGCTGGCATCAAGGCCGCTGCAACGGGACGCTGGACAGCGTTCCGGACAGATACATGATGCTGAATGGAGCTGCCGATGTCTCCGGGGATATAGGATGTTCTACGTTAAGTATTCAAAAAGTTTCCTTTACATATTTGTTCTTCTGACTTGCAGCTCAAGAACCACGGAATTCACACCGAGGATGTGATGAGGTGCTCTCAACTCGCCCAGCGAACACAAGACGCGGTACTACACCGACGAGATCTTCACTCCCGCCGCTACTACACCAGCACGATGCCTTCGAAAGAAGAGAAGCTCGAGTGACACGACCACCTCCAGATGTGGCTCAAGGAAGAGTCCCTCGGAGCGCACCCCTGGCCCGAGTTCCCAGCCAGCTACAAGTCAGTATCTCGCTCCGGCTCGCTCCTTGATTATTATGTCACTGCTATTGCCTCTGTATCATTTGCAATGCAACAGGGACGTTGGATCCGAGAACGCTAGAAACATCTTCAATGCCGGGAAGAGGATGCTGTTGGCCATGTCTGAGGGACTTGGCCTCCGCATAACCGGTCTTGTGGAAGCATTCGAAGACATGGTCCTTTAGACGAGCTATCCGGCTTGCCCAAACCCAACGCAGGGCTTGGGTATGGAAGGCCACACCGGCGTGCACTCGAGGGAATGCTGGTGGTCAACATGGGTGATCAGCTAGAGGTACGAGCAGTTGAAAAGTTTTTAGAATGATCTTAATGTTGTCCTTGCTTGGTTACTGGGAAGTGGAAGAAAACTTGGCGCCTTTGACTACTCAAGCCACATAGCATGTACTCCACAATAGGCAAGAGATTGTGTTGACACTGGTAGGACAAGGATAGAAAAGTGGCTAGCCATCTATACATATAAAGCGATAGCGGGGAGGCTTGCCGGCCGTTGGATCCCAGGCCCGGGCCAGGGTCAGTAGCCATGGTTGCGTGAGAAATTTTTCGGATGTTTGCTCTTGGCCAATGGGAGGCGGCCAAGCTGCGTGGGGCGGGAGAAGAAGGCACAGTGACGGTATATATCGCGCAAAAAATGACAGCATTCGAATGTTAGTAGAAACAACAAGCTTAAAACGTAATGGCGAAAGAACAAAAGAACTTGATTCATATGAGGCGGACGAGCAGATTGAAGAGCTTGGTGTTATACTATTGAGACCATCTTCTCGTCGATCGTCGTTCGATCGATCGATCCCAGTTGCATCGGATCGGGTCAGAACGCCAAACTCGTCCGCGCAGGGATCGCCATTTGCGCTGATTTCTAGCACTTGGTTCGTGTGGAATGAAAGCACGAAAGAGAGATTGGACTAAACCGGGATGGTATGAGTTTGATCGAGGCCAACGTAGCAATCTGAGACGAGGAACAGCGCTATCTCCTGGAATCACGAAAACAAACAAGAGAATCAATCCAGGAAAAATTTCATCATGATCCTCTTTACCTGTGTTCCCGCAGGAACTCTTGGCACTGCAACGCTTGTGCTGAGACGCTTGTCTTTGATGCTCACGCGCCTCATGGCGAAGAGCTCCCAAGTACTTGTGCTTCCTACAACGATCCACCATCCCTCTTCCTTGGACTAAAAACCAAGCACAAGAGGAAAATGTAAAAAGTGTTACTCAA